ACAAACGTTTTAACAACGAACGTTAATTTCAACAATACGTCTCTCTCTGACTGCAGTTCAATTACTCATTACCTATACACACACTATTGTCCCGTCAGGTTGTCACCCTCTTTTATATACCAGTCTACTCTACATCTAGTAAATGCTAGAGCATTCGCCAAAGTACAGGATAGTTCTAGAAAGTATAGGGCGTGAGAATAGTCACGTGATCTCGATGACGTGACACTATATTAAATGTGATTGAAAAACTGTTTCGAAACATGTGTCTTTCTTTACCGAAAGGTTCAAAAACATTTATGCTGGTTTTTCTATTGCATTTTTTGTCCTACCACGTCTTCGCCTGACTTATATTTTTCTCAGTTTCTAACTATTCACTGTGTGTTATTATTTGCTTTGATAGTGGTGTTTCACAATTTTCATAATAGAATTACACTAAGTTACAGAACTGGATCGTTTTTTCATTAAAACATAAATATATTGCTTGTGACAGTTTAATTTTTTTAGACTCGGTGCAGTTAGCTTTAGCCTAATCTTCAAATATCTTTCAGTCGTGTCACCTAATCTTCTATATGAGGCCCTTTTAAGTGACTAAGTGCGAGCTTGTCCCCATTCGCCCTGCACTTTAGTCCTGAGAGCTGACCTGGATCATGCTATTTTTCAAATTCCCAACGATAATACACCTCTCCTAATATAATATTATAGTTTATATAAAATTACCTATAAAAGTAGTCTGTATTTTCAGCATTTTCGTGTGTTGCATTATAATTACATATTCTTTTATTATTGTTGTTGTGGTAGTAAAAAATGTGTGTTTAAATATAACTTAACTTCTATATATTCAATTCCTGCTTTACGGTTTTTTATTCTAGTGTTCTGCGAGCTGCGGTGAGGGAATGAGGATACGTCACATCACGTGCCATGATGGCCATAGTAACGTTTTACTTCCTGGGTCGTCTTGTGATGTGTCAAGTCGACCAATCACTCTCGAAATCTGTAATGCTAAACCTTGTGGATCATGGAGAACGTTAGAATGGAGGCAGGTGAGTGAAATGATTTCAGTCTCACGACAAATTCTCTCTTAAACTTACGGTCTGTTAAGTGGTTACACTTGGGAAACCAACGGCTGTGTGGAGTAAAACCAGCAGCTGAGTGAAAGCACTTTAGATTTAGTTCAGCTGAACCAAGTTATCCGTTATACATAGTTACTTTAAATGAATTTCAAATATCAGTTTTATAAGTCATCATAGTTAATTACGAGTTGTTTGTGGTTCAGATGAGTGAAATCGTTTTCTCTTGTCATTAGTTTGATCCGAGTTTAGGTAAATGATGTAATATTAATTTGAATTTAAAAATGTTGTAGACGTAAGGTTATTTTGTCAAATAAAGTCTTTAACAAAAAATAACTTTAAAATGTTAAGTAGTAGTTACCAATTTTGTATATAAGGTTCAGTATACCAAGTTAAGATTTCGATTGCCTAAATTATGGGACGTAATAGAGATGAGAAATACAACGTATAATCATCACAAGTCCTTAAATGTAGAAGGTTAAAAATAAGGGAAGATTAGATAACACCGTTTGAATGTGAAACATTTTTAAATAAGGAAAATAGGGTTAGTTCCAGGTTGATTATTTCTGATCTCAATCCTTTTTAATCTTGGTAAGAAAAAAATGCCTAATATTTTTTATCGTCTACGTAAAATGAGAAGTTTTGCAAGTCTAGACAATAGATATTAATATACCTACTCCAAATCAAGTAAATTAGATTCGGTTTTGTTCTTAAACTATTTACCTGTCCATAACTGGTTACGTAAAATGTTTTAACATCTCTAAGTATTGGAAAAAGGCGTGTGTGTACATGGTTTACGAAGCTCAAAGTAAACTAACTACAAAACTGCCAGTTTGATTTTTCTGTACAAAGTAAATCCTTACTTTAGTGTAGCGCAACTTGTGGACAAGGTGTGATGACACGCAACGTTGGTTGCTTCTCCCTGGATGGAACTCAACGTGAAGATCAAGACTGTGACCATGAAGCTCGCCCAGTGAGTGAGAAGATATGTAATCTTTCTGCATGCAACAAAATTCTTGGAGTTTTAAGAGAAACTGGAGATATTACTCATAATAAAGTAGAAGGCTTTTTCTGGAGAACAGGACCTTGGGGAGCAGTAAGTAATGCATGAATAAATAAAAACTTATACTGTTTCTGGTATTTTTTCTAAATATTAGACTCATAATGAATATCAAGCAACGTTTAACAAAACAAAACTAAATTTAGTAGATGTTCCACTGGAAAATTTATCTTTGGAGAGTTGTAGGTAAGAGTTTCTATATAAAGAGTAAAAAACAAAATACTTGTTGAAACTCTCACCAGCTTGTGACAGTTGTTTAATTAATGACTACTGATTTGCCTCCTAATCTGTTATTTTTGTATAGAATTAACGTTAAAATCATGGCGACCAAACAGTAGTCTAGATCATAAATTGTTTCCACGTTAACGTAAGTTTTTCTGTATGAAATCAGTGTTCACGAACATGTGGTAGTGGAACTCAACGTCGCCAGGTGGCATGTTATGATGAATTGGGTAGAATGAGCGATCAGTGTGAATTAGCGAGAAAGCCCATAGAAGTTTCACAATGCGGCGTGGACCAGTGCCCAGTTTGGTCAGCAGGGGAGTGGCAACAGGTAATTAGCGTTTTTAACAATATCAATTCAAAATACACTTCATTGTCGTAGGAATACTTTCTGCTAGTTATTTTGTTTATGATGTTATTCTAAACTTCTCATGATTACAGCAACATATAATCATGAGTAACGTCTTAGGCTGAGTTAAAATACGAATGCGTTGTCTTTCACAGCAGACTGAGCTCTTAGCCATTTTTACCTGCTTGTCGCCAGAGTATTTTTATTCTTCACGGTGGAAGCCCTGCTATAGTACGGAATAATCATATTATACTTAAGGGTTAGTTAAAGTGATATCATCTGTATAGTGTTCGGCGTTGACTGTTCTGTCATATTTAAATCAATATGTTCTTGCTTGTAAGGTTTTGATACTATATCACACTTTGTCATACATATTATCTGTAAGGTTTCGCATCTATGATATTGACTGTTAAGTTTAATTTGTATAATTCTGCATGATAAGCTAAACCACTACAACCCAGGGATTATGGAGTAGCCTGATACCATTTAGGAAACTACAAAATGACCTGCATTTAACCTCAAGCCTATTAACTTTTATTTTAAGTTATAGAATTTTCATGGTCCCTTAAATGTGTCAATAATTTATCAACATTTATGATGGATTTTTGTGTTAGTATACAAACATTTCTATCGCATTTGTTCCACATATATGCACCGACATTTTAACAGAAAATACAAAATTCTGTTCCCGTTTAAGCTTTTTGTAACTGTTCGATTAAGACGAATCATTCGTATTATGAACCACGATAGCTGTTCATAATAGGGATCCCAAGGAATTGCACAAAACCCTAATAGAACGTTTTGGCAAAAAGCACCTTAAAGAGTAAAGATTTAGTTTAAACAACACTTTAAACCTTTACTATTGAATGCTAAAGCTGTAGACATATAAAAATGCACAAAAACCACGTATGTTAGACTTACAAGGAAAAGCCCCCCAGTGGCATAGCGTGGGGACTTACAACGCTAAAAACCGGGTTTCGATATCCGTGGTGGGCAGAGCACAGATAATCCATTATGTAGCTTTGTGCTTAATTCCAAACAAACAAACAAATACAAGGAACAAAAATCCGCTCAAAACGTCCCGTTTTAATTCTTATTATTATTATCTTGCCAGCCTACAACAAAAACGGCTTCGTATATTGTACCCAAAACTTTTATAGAATACTGGATAATGTACTGTGAAGG